TTTAATTTATGAGTAAAAACTATTACAGTGACTAATCTAGGAGGAAGAGCAAAACTTACAGCAAAATGAACAGTGATAAATCAATAGGACACCTGTGATTGGACCATCACTTTATATGTGCCAGGATGGTCCCTCCACCTTATAATACAATAAAGCAGAAATGATCAAATATTCATGAAGAAAAGGCCAGTGATATTAATCAGCCACAAAAAACTAGATATGTACTTTAGGTGTCAACTTATTCAGATTAAGGAATACTGAGAAAATTGGAATAGCATTGTTTTGGGAAAAGTCATTCATCTCTGAATATATTCTCTAAGGAAACATCTGTCAGGTATTTCCAGAGAAGTTTAGCATTTGTGTCTGTCCATCCAATCAGTGAACAAACATAAGAAGGCAAATTCATCTCTCCTTCCAAGAGCTGGGACACACTAGTGTCCTGCCTTGGTCATTGGAAGTCCATGCTCTCTGGCCGTTGGACTGCAGGACTTACACAAGCAACCCTTCCTGAATTTTTAGGCTTTTGGCCACAAACTGAGAATTACACCATTGGCTTCCCTGGTACTGAAGTGTTTGGACTCGGACTGAGCTATGCTTCTGGCTTCACAGGGTCTCCAGCTTGCATATAGCCTGTCCTGGGACTTCTTAGTTGCCATAACTGTGTGAACCAATTCTCTAATAAATCCTCTCTCATCTATCTGTGCACAGATCCTATTGGTCTGTTTCTAGAGAACCCTAACACAGTACTGATATAAAAAGTATCATACAAACAGCCTTCCCAAATAAATCATTAAGGACTTTTTAGAAAGGCCCATAGTGTAGTCCTTATCTATTTTAAAGTGGATATTGCATGTACAGTTTATCTGTGGGGGTCAGGGTTATATCTCAAAGTTATCATCTGCTTGTTTCTTCTGTGTGTTTGCCTCCCTCCTTCTTGCACATCATTGCCCCAAGGACTGGGTTGAGCAGTTTTCCTTCTTTGGCTCATGCCTAAGTAGGAACAAAAATTCAAAACCTTACTAGACAAAATTTCTTTCATGTATGTTTGCAGAACCAGTTTTTCCTCTCCCAGGGGCCTTTGGAAAGGCAGGAAGAAAACAGAGGGATACCAAGAAAAGGACTAGAAGATGGATAAGGGGAGGAGATGGGAAGAAGATCATCTCAAATGAAGTGTAACTTCACGGCTAACTTAGCAGCTGACATCCACCTGGCGCTCAACAGCCCCAGGCACTTGTAATACTCAGTCACATGAGACTGTGCCCACTTCAGATGTCACTAGCAAGTTCCAGACCTCTGGTGTTGCAGAAGCGCTCTGACAGAGACTGAGAGGGCACCAAAGCTTTTGGGAAGCAAGTTTGTTAAGCAAGCTGGTAGCAACTCAGCGGATTCATGTCCAAAGGCTGAGCACCTAGAACAAGGGGTCTTCCCTTATATACTATTTAAAGCAGGTTACAGAAATGGGGGAGGTACAGCTTGTTTCATACATGATCACATGTTATTTTATTGGCCGCTCTAACCTCTGGAGTGAGGAGACCTTTCCCTGGTCTCCAGGTGACATTCCCCAACTCCGGTTTTCCTTTGTTTCACTGTAGCACTCATTAATATCTCTTCCCCCTCCCTGCCTTCCTGCCACACTGGTCCTCTGGCCATTGAGCTACAAATCTGGGATTCCCATGACACCCTCCTCATGTTTGATAATTTGCTAAATTGGCTCACAACTCAGGAAAACACTTTACTCATGTTTACCGGTTGATTATAAAGGATATAAATGAATAATCAAAGGCATAAATGCATAGGGCAAGGGAGAGAGGTGTGGAGCTTCCACCCCTCTCCAGGCACTTATCTCCAGTGCCTCTTGTGCTCTCCAGTACAGAGGCTCCCCAAGTCTCTTCACTTAGGGATTTTATGGAGATTTCCTTTTGTAGGCATGCTTGCTTGACTAAATTATTGCCCATTAGTGATCCAACTCGATCTCCAATCCCTCCCTCCTCTCCAGAGGTCAGGGGAGGAGCTGAACAGCCCAATCCTCCAATCACATGGTTGGCTCCTCTTGCAACCAGCCCCATCTTTCAAGTCACCTCATTAGCATAAACTTAAGTTTGGTTGAAAAGGTTCATTAGGATTAACAAAAGGCACTCCTGTCACCCCTACCACTCAGGAGGATGCAAGAGTTTTAGAAGCTCTGTACAGAACTGGGGACAAAGGCCAAAAATATATTTCTTATGACATCATATATCACAAAAGGCTAATTTTGCTCACAGTACATGCCCATATGGGGTTATCTGGACATGTCATTCTCACACTAGGATCTCTGCCATGTCAATCTCTCACTAGAACCCAGGTTAACAAAGCAACCACCAGAACACAGCCAGGCACCAAATCAGAGGGAAATGGAGTGTGTAGGACACTGTGCACTGAGTCTTGCAGTTTCAATCCAAAAGTACCATATCATTTCAACTAAGATTTTATTTACCAAAACAAGTCCTATATAACTGTACAGTGGCAGGGAAACACAATCCAACCATGTGCTCAGAAGACCTTCAAGTACAAGGTACCAGAACTAACAACACTACCTGGCTTACTTACGTGTGCATAGGAACTTTCTAGAAGAATGCAAGGAATCTGATTGCTCCTAAAATGAAAAACGAAGAGAAATTTTAATTTCTACTTTACCCCTTATTATAGTGTTTGAGATTTTAACTGTGACATTAAATTTGATCCACACATTAAATTTGTGTGGATTGATGTCTGAGACACAGGTTGTTCCCCGTTCTCATTACTCACAGAAGACAGTCTAAACTGCCAAAAAGAAAACCAAAGAATCAAGTGCTTATGGCTCAGAATAACCAGCCTTCTTCTAAAACAGAAACATTTAAGTGCCGAAGGGCCAGGCCCCGGAAGAAAGAACACTTCTCTGCTTAAGCAGCCAGGTCAGCACCTGCTCCAGATAGCTCCTGGTCCTTAGAACCTTTTTTGAGGGAACAGAGAGAACTCTTGGCCCTTTTCTCCAGGGCTCTTTTTTTTTTCCAGTCTACAGGCCAGAATGGTGACTTTTCAGTCATCTCTGACCTTATAATAGAGAAATAACTATAGAGACCATGACCTTCCTTGACTTGGAGCAAGAAAATCTTATACAACAATTCACTGGGAAGTCTGATTCACTCCCGCTACCATTCTGTAGTCCATTAGGGGTCCTGAGACAAGACAGCCATTCGGGAGAGGTGTGCTGGGTAGCAGCAAGGGGCAGGAAGCTACCCTCATACAGCATGCCTGGAGGACTTGCCTCTACCATCACAGCAGGCATGGGAACCAAAAAACTGTTGATCTGAGAAAGAATGGGAGGACTGAGTTACAAATTGACAGCCTGTCTAACTGGGGGAGGGCCCAGTCTATTTTTGGTTTGGCTGCACACACAGCTTTCCATCTGAGGCCAGCATCCATTGCCAGGTAGAGGAGCACTGCTCAAGACTGAAGATGTAAAGCTGGTGGAGTGGCTCAAGTGGTAGAGCATCTGTCTAGCAAGTGCAAACCCTGAGTTCAAACCCCAGTACTGCCAAAAAAAAAGTTAAGACTGAAGATGTACCCAGGCTAAGGCAGGAGGATTGAGTGTTCAAGGTCAGACTGGGCTATATAGCAAGACCCTGTCTCAAAAAACAAAACAAAACAAAAAAGCCTGAAGGTGTTACTCTTCCTTAGACAATTTTCTCAGGACAGGACCTTGGAGTTGAGTCTGTGGGGAAGGTGGGCATGCATACATACCTTAAAAAATATAAATGTGATTCATTCCCTCATCATTCTACAAATATTTTATTATTTTCACCAAACATTACTGATCAGCAAAAGCCTGGGAGCATGATGGAAAAGAGGGATGTATAAACTCCCACACTCACCAAACTCACAACCCAGAGAGGATTGTGACCCATAGCCAAACACCAGGGTACAAGCCCAGTAAGGTTCACAAAAAACACAGGCACAATTAGAGCCCAAAAGAGGAAAGGATTCACTTCTGCTGCAGGACCCAAGCTTTCCTGGGACTTTCAGCCTAAGTCATGGCCTCCTTGGATAAGGAGCTAGATAGGACCAGACTTTTCTCTAAAGCAGGCTGTCCTGCTGTGGAGAGAAGAGATACAAGGATTTTCTTAGAAAAACACTGGCAGCAGTGTCCTTGGGAACAAAGCTAATCAAGAGTTGACAGTTCAGAACTGTGGTAGAACAGAAAATAAATATTTGGGTTTTGTCCCCAGTTACTGGTACACAAGGCCTAAAACCCTTAGAATCTCAGGAGTGATAAGAGTGGTTTTTGTATGCTAATGCGATGACAGGTGGCTGGGATCCCTAAGTACCTTCATGAATGGGAGCTCATGGCCAGAAAATCCAAGACATGGTTAGAGGGTTAGAACATTCAACATCCCCTCACCACCACCACATCTCTGGGGAGAGGAGAAGGGCTAGAGATTGGCAATGACTTGATCAATAATCATGGCTACCTAATGAAACCTCCATTAAAAACCCATAAATGACAGACTTGGAGAGCTTCTAGGTTTGTGAACACATGGAGGTGCTAAGAGGATGGTGAACTGGAAGAAGGCCTGGCAGCTCCACTTCTCCCCCCAATACTTGCCCTATGTATCTCTTCCCTTTCACTGCTCCTAAGTTGAATCCCCTATGAAAAACTAATAATACTAAATAAGCTTTATAAGAAATTGGTTTCCTGAGTCCTGTGAGTCATTCTAGCAAATTATCAAACCTGAAGGAGGAGATTGTGGGAACCCACAACTTTGTAACCACACCAGACATATGTGTGTGCAGCCTGGGGGCCCAATATTTATGAGGAAGTCCATCTTGGTTAATAACCCAAAACTCCATGACAGCTGTTACAGCACTTAAGAACTTACTAGAATTATGCAAGTCAGCTTATAGAAAACCCAACCAGTCCACTTGTGTGGGAAGAGGGGAGTCTACAGCAAAGAGGGCAGCACAGAATCTGTCCAGTCCCCCAGTCAATGGTCTTTAGTGGTTGGAGCAACTTCTAGGAGCAGCTGGAGATGTAGGGTGGCCACTTGCAAACACTTGGGCTGGCACTGGAAGTACACAACCAGGAAATACACCAGGAAGCCGCTGAGCAGAAACAGGAAGATGTAGAGCAACTCCAGCTGGGGATTGTCAATGACAGGTGCCAGAACCAGGTAGAGAGAAGCTAAGAGCATGATGGCAGGGATGAAGGTGGGAACCTGCAATGGGCACAGAGAGGGTGCATTTGGTCCCTAAGATCTGCATGATGAAGGAGGCATGAGAAATGGTGTGTGGTCCTTAGGCTCTGCTCCTCCTGCCTATCTTTCTATTGTCCCCATCTGCCACCACCTCTTATCCTCCAATCTCTGCCAGAATACCTTGACTGGGACTGTGGAGCCATCTGCTGGGCTACAGCGGGGCTGTTCAGAGAGCAAGAGGGTATGAGACCCAGTATAAGCCTCTCTGTTCTATGTGTAGCCAAGTGTGTGGATAAATCCTCTGCATTTATCTCCCATGGTTCTCCATCAGGGTCCTCCAAAGGAGAAATGATGTTAACTCCCCAGCAAGTGCAACTGATACCTTACGATTTCGTTGTCCCTCAACCCCAAGAAAATAAGGAATTTTTCTGTCAAAAATAATGATAATGACATCTACTTACATTCTTTCTCTGGGCCTTGAATGAATCCATGTTCCAAAGATCTGCTTCATATGAGAGCAAAGGGTCAAAAAAGCCCAATGTCTATCTCAAAGATTACCTTGTAAATTCGGGGAAGATTCTTTGTCTTTATCCGCAAGTATAGGAGGCAGCTAATGGTGGTTCCATAGGTGAGCCAGGATAGGAAACTGGGAAAAAAAAAAAAGACTAGATCAGGCACTCTCTGAATGAATTAGGAGGAAATATCCAAACAGAAGGTGTAGTGTTTGTGTTTCTTAAAAAGAAGAGGCGGGTGAAAAATCTCAAGGAATTCTTTGCTTTCTGCAGGGACCAGACCACCCATAGCAGAACCCCTCTTCCACCCAACCTACCTTTCACTTATGGTTGGTGACATGACATGTGGCCTGCTGAGTACCCCAACAAATCCTCACCTCTGTCCTTCCCAGTATCAACAGTTGAGTAGCTGCTGTTGGTCTAATAAAAATTCTACCTAATCTTGGAGGCAGGGTCCAGACCAAACCATCTCTTAGGAGGTCAAGACCAAGCAGTGTTAGTACCTAGTTGGTATGGATCACCCTAGGATTCTCTGTGCTGTGACATTCTCAGTCACATTCTCTAGTCTTCACCTGGGGACTCCCTATCCTCACTATGACTTGATTTTATTCTTACCATACAATGATTTCATTCTTTCTCGTGGGAAAAAGATAAAAGAACAAAATGTTTGCTGCTTATCATTTTTAAGGGAGTCACACCAAGTACTGTATCCTGTTCCAGATTAATTAGATAACAAAGGAAGGGAACATGTAATGCCTGAAAAATTACAAGTGCTCCCTCTGTACCCAGACGTTATGCTTGCCTGCTGGTTTATGGATCTGCCTACTAACCTTACTTCAAATGAGCTCAGAAAATAACAAGCAGATATCACAGCAGCCTGAGTTCTCCATCTTGAGAAAAGTAGTAAAATGGGGTCAGAATATGTCCCCACTTAGGTGCACTCACTAACTGTCCCTACATAGGGCAGTGCAGGCCAGTAGAGTTCAATAGAGATTATGTTGTGTCAGAGTCCAGAATGCAAACCCAAACTACAAAGGGAAAAATCACACCATGTCTAAGGGCTCCAAGTAAAGTTAATAATACCTGAATACTCCCCAACATTATCTTAGCAGCAGACTAAAGGAGCAAGAAAAAAAAATGATAAAGACAACACAAGCCTTTAGCTATCTCTTGGTGAAATATCTATCTTAATGAATTTTGAGGAACAGAGCAAGAGAGAAGAAATCCACATTTAATTTTTGAAACATGATTGGGAGAGATTGGCTGAAGTATGCTACATATCCAGGGACTCTGAAGCTGGGCCTCCAGAAGTGTGCATATGTGTTTATATAGGTGTACAGGTGAGTGTGTATACATGGAGCTCAAGAAGTTTATAGTGTATGTGTATAAGTACATACAAGTATGCGTGTACCCACAAGGGTATACAGATCCACAGATATCCAGCACGCAGATATGCATCTTGGGAAAGTCTCACTTGCCTCAAGAAGTTTACAATGGTGCTGAAGTCTCCTGGGATGACCAGGGCCAAAGCCACAGCTGTGGTGAACATCAGGGCCGGAGTTGGTGTGAGGCGATGCACATGAACCATGGACAGCAGCTGGGGCTAGAAAGCAGAGTGTCAAGAGGCTCCAGGGGAGCCCCAGTAGGCATGTCTCCCACAGTGTGCCCAACCTAACAGTCACTAATCATCAGGGCTTCCAGGTGTATGTCTCTGTGGTTCACCTGTGATGGCCAGGCCCAGGGACAAGGGTCTCTGGGGGAGATGGCCATCTGTGTCCTCTGGGCATCCTTTTCCCAAGGTTTCTGCACTCTTGCTATATACAAATACCCTTTTCACCCACATCTTCCATCCCATGTAACTGAGTGCCGTGATTGCCTTGAAAACCAGAAATAAAGCTGAGGGGCACAGAACACTTGAGTCCGTTCTCAGAAGAGAAGAGGGCCATGTCTTACAGGGGGCTAAATGCCAGGTTCAGGCAGGAGAAAGTGTAGCTGGCAGGCTTTCTGAACCCCTCTCACAGCCCCACTACCTTGTCTGATCCCAGACTCCCATCTCTCACCATGTGGCCCTCTCTTGCTGCTGCATAGCACACACGGCTGCCACCAAAGAATGTCCCATTGACAGAACCAAATGTAGAAAGTGCGACAGCCAAAGGCACCAGCCAAGCCCAGGATCCCAGAACCTGGTTCCTACGACAACAAAGGGATCAAGGGAAGAGACTCTGGCAGCAACCAGGAAGATGGTCACAAGGCCCCCTTCAGAAGCGGAGCAAGCAATGCATTCAAGGGCAAATTCAAATATACACAGAACTCTATCCTTTCCCATCCTTGAACGTCTGGTGTCCAGGTACATATTATGTGACTCACTCACCCCCAGCTCACAGCCATAGCGTCAGAGGAGAGGATCTCACTGGGTGACAGCACCAACAGGTAACTGGATGTTGACCAGGACATATAGGCTGGTGACCAGGGGGATGGCGATCATCAGTGCCCACACCAGGTTATGCTGTGAGGTCAGAAAGAGGACATAAGTATAGGCCAGTGAGGTCTGTCTAAGCCCCAGAACAAGCTCAGCATTGTGCTGGCCAGAGGGCATTGTGCCCAGCCATGGAGGACAAGGGTGGGTGTCTCTCCCCCATGAGCTCAGGATCCTGATGGCATGGACATACATTCAGGCAGATGGGCTGGGAGATCTTGAGGGACCCAGCCAGAGTCAGAGTAGTGAAGGTACAGAGAGGCTGATGGGGTGGGAAGGAAAGAAGAGCAATCTACAAAGCTTTCAGGATGAGGAGGATCTTAAACTAGGCTCTCCTTGAAGAGTAGAAGTGATTCAGGTGAGCAAGAAGGAGAGGAATTCCTTGCTGAGGTAACCAGGAAAGCAGAGAATAGAGAAGTGACAAAAAAGTTATTCATGAGATAAGACCCTCCCCTCACTTAAGCATTTGTCTATGATTAGCATATCTTTTCCTCTTCAATTTCCAGACCTTTCTGCCAGGGCTGAGACCTGCCCATGGAAAACCTCGCAAATGGGAATGGGAGAGAGAGCAGGGGACACTGAAAACAGAGCAGTCATCTCAGGACCCACTTCAGGTCCCTGTGGCCAGCCTCAATGATGACACTACCCTCACTCCCCATCATGTTTCCTTGGGAAATAAAATGCCGTCTTTTCTGGCTCCGGGTTCATGTTCAAGTTGCTTCTACAGAGCTGCATCAGCCCTTTGAAGCTGGGCTCCAGTCTCCTCTTCAGGAAGCCTTGTTTAATTGCTCTGCTTTGTTAGTCACCCTATCTAACAGGCCATGTGGCAAACTAGATGCCACAAGATGCTCAGGTCCCTTCCAGCTCTGAAGTCTGAATGCAAAGGAAATTTTCCCAACTACAGCATAACTGAGGTATAGTAGCTAATTATTTATCATTCCAGTGCCTGAAACTGCCTGTTAGCAAAGGTTCTTCCTTCCACAGGCCTCACTGTGGGATACCCTCAGCAACATGAGCACCCAGTATGCATGACTCAGCCCCACACGTAGTCAGAGGCAAGGAGCTTAGTGTCCTTTTGAACATGATCTCCCCCTGGGCAACCTTTCCACCAGTAATGAGCTGTGACAATGGCAGAACCCTGAGTTGTACCATGGATGGGTTTCTGGCCAAGACACCACGAGACCAATGAGATACCCTAATTTTACTGTTAAGGACTTTAATTCTTCATTCAAATTCCAGGGAGTCTGGGCATATGCCTAGTCCTAATTTGGCAAAGGTTTTGCAGTTTCTTGGAGGCAAAAGTGTGAAATAAACAAACACACACCTAATGCATGCTTTGGAGAGCCAAGTTAAACAGTAGAATCTCAAATGCTGGCATTCAGAGGACTTGCTTAGGATTTGCTTCGAAACCCACATTCATCAAAAATGCTCTGGATATAGCAAGGATCAGCAAACTATAGCTGTGAGCCAGACCCAGCCTGTTGCCTGATTTTGTCAATCAAATCTTATTGGAACACAGCTACACTCATCTGTTTACCTGTGGAAGTTTTCATGCTATCACAAGAGTTGAGTACTGAAGGTCCACGGAGCCTAAAATCCTAACTCTCAGACCTTTATAGAAAAAGTGCCTGTCCCCGCCACAAGCATGGGAGCTTGTCTCACTTATCTTTCAGCCCCCTGCTCTTTTCATAGCCCAGCTCTAAGCCAGAACCTGGATTCAGAGAGGCAGCTCTAGCACCATAGATTGAAGGAGCCTGTGCCCCTACCCTACAGCCCCAGCACACCCCAGCGCCAACCTGAGCACATGTTAGTCATTCACCTGAGAGTTACAACCAAAAAGTTGTTTATAGTACGGAGAGCCCATGCCATCTGCTATGAGCACCACTGATACCCCAGAGCCCTGTGAGGAAGGCAAGGCAACTATTATGAAGGTCCCATTATAAAGACAAAGATCTGAGACACAAAGAATTACATGCAAAAATAAAAACTAGGTTCTAGGACTCCTGGCTGTCTCTTGACTCTCTCTCTCTCTCTCTCTCTCTCTCTCTGCTCCTGGACTTCAGTCTCCAAGCTGCTGTTCTTCTACCAACTTTTCCCAAACTGCTCTTCAGGGAGCCTTGGCAAGACTCTGAAAGCTGTAATGAACCCTAAGCCAACCCAATGGGTATAGAGGAAAAGAATTTGCAGGTCCCATTCCGTGAGAATTTGAAACTCCTGCAAGGGGAAAAGAAAACAGAAAATAAAACAATAGCATCCTATGCAAATACACTTCTAGCAAAAGGTTAATAGCCATAGTAACCAAAGATCCAAATGCCCCAACTGAATCCCAAGGGACCCTGGCCCCATTAAGACACTGACTTGTCAGCCCAGGCTCCAGGTGGGGTAAACAGGCAGGATTGGCTTGTTCCTTTGTTTCCAAGTATGCTATGTCCAGAAGTGACTCTCAGGCTTTAGCAACTATCAATTAATTATCTACTACAATGTTCTGGAGAAAAAAAAATCCCAGAGATATCAAACAGGGTTATTAAGTGCAGCCTCTTCCTAGCAGTATGAATTCAAAACATTTCCCCTTTCTGAACTTCAGTATTCCTATGTGAAAAACGGGGTTATAATATCTACCTTACAAGGCAAGAAGATGAGACCACAGGTTGACACTGTAAAGTTCAAGGTAGACAATGGTTTGGCATTCAAGTCCCATGAATGCAGGAAAGTAGCCCACATTTCCAGCTAGATAGTTCATGATCTCAGTCACCCCAAATTTGGATAATTGGAGCTCCAATAACTGAAACTGCTGATGTTCACGGATTTGGCCCCATGGCAGCATTATGGACTCACCTTTGGATTCTTGAGCTCCTCCATCACGTAGTTGATGCTATTCCAGCCATCAAAATACCACAGTCCCTGGTAGAAAGCCATACCAATGCGCCCGGCCTGTTGCGTTGTGTTTTGGAAGGTGGACAGAAGGGTTTCTGTGCGGCCACGGCCCTGGCCCAGCATCACGGCCCTGGCCCAGCATCACAGCCCCACCCACCACAATGACCAGCAATGAGAACACTTTGGCAGCTGTACACACGTTCATCACCATGGTGGACAACCGAGAACTCCAGAAGTTGATCAGCATCAGCAGTAGGATGCAGAAAGCAGCCACATTCTTGAATACAACCTGGGGCAGTGAGGAGCAACCAGGAAAGAAGGGAGCCAAGGCATACTCGGCAAAGCTCAGAGACACAGCAGTGATGGTGGCTGGTCTGCCCACCAGAACGTATGTGTAGATAACCAGGAAGGCTGGTAAGGAGCCAAAGTTTCTCAAGATGTAGGCATACTCTCCTCCAGATTCAGGAATCAGGGCCCCCAGCTCAGCATAGCACAGGGCACCCAGCATGGCCAGGAGGCCACAGACTGCCCATACCACAAGACTGGCTCCAGGAGTACCCATATGGATCAAGACCCCTTGAGGTGTCATAAAGATGCCAGAGCCGATCATACAGCCAGCAGTCAGGGACACAGCACTCCACAGACCAATCTCCCTCCTCAGTGTCAGTCCTGGTGCCCCACTTCCAGATTCTTGCCCAGTCACCCCCTCGCTCTCACCCTTTTCCTTGTTTCTCTTCATCTTAGTACTTCAACAGGCACTGCCTCTGGTTGATGAGAGGCAGAGGCTCTGGTATCTATTCTTTAGATAGTTGAAGGAGATCCGTAGTCATGGCCAAATGGTTAAGGCGAGGGACAAGATAGTTGAAGAAGTTAATGATTACAGAACTGGAAGGAGTCTGAGCCAGTGATCAATGACCCAGGGTGTGATCTAGAAGGAGCTGATCTAGCCAGCACCTGTCCATCTCAGACCCTGATACAAGCAGTCTATAGGAGCCGCTGACCAGCATAATTCAGTAAAGGTCCAGAAAATAAATGTTTTCATAGAAATCTCTATTGCTGGCTGAAGATATAGCCGGGTGCTAGAGTGCTTATCTAGCATGTCCAAGACCCTGGTTTTGACCCCCAGGACCACAAAAGGCAAAAAAAAAATTTAAGGAAGATAAAAAATAAACCTCTGTTGCCCAGTTCCCCAACAATATGTGGGAAATGATCATTGGATAAGTACTCTGAACTATAGTAGGAGGGCCAAAAGCTGCACCTAGACGGCTGAAGACAGTTTTCCCAGTCTATCAGAAATAAGGATTCCAATGCAGACAGCCTGTAATGAAAACTACATAAACCTCATGCCCAGGAAGAATCAGGATGATTCAAGAAAAAGATTCAGGACAGAGCTTGTTCCTCAGCAAGACACAAGGAAGTGGTTAAGAGTACAGGTTATGGATACGCATGGTGGCACACACCTGTAATCTTAGAACTTGGGATGCTGAGGCAGGAAGATCAAGATCATCCTGGGCTATGTAGTGAGATCCAGTCTCAAAAAAAAAAAAAGTACAGTTTCCAGAATGGGACTGCTAAGTTCAAATCCTTACTCTAGGATCTCATAATTGTATGACTTGGTAAGATCTCTGAACTTTACCTTATTCACTTGTCAATTAATGATACTTTCCACACAGAGTTGCTTGAAGAATTAGCTAACATAGTCTATTTGAATGTGTAGTAGTAAGTTTTCCATCAGTGTTAACTAAGAGTTTCATTAGTCCAGCTGAAGGAAGAGGGATTGGTATTAATACCAGAAGGAGACAAGACTAGAGGAGCATATATCACATATAATGTATATTATATTATATATAATTAATATTAAATTACATATTTAATTTAACACTAAATTTCACTGATCAGCAAATGATTTCATTTCAGGATTTAGTGTGCAACTTTTTTATAGATCATCTCTTTTATTTTTAAAATCTTTATAGAACCTTTGTTACTATTGATATAGGAAGGTCACTAGAAGTCACTGGCACTTAGGGTAAAGATGCTGTCACCCAAAGTAGGAATGAAGGTACTTGCAGTCTCCCAAATATCTTTGCCTAGCTGAAACTGGACTTATGAGCTACTTGGATTTCATGTGTGTATACAATCAATAAAGCTGTTGATAGATGCAAAGACCTTCGCTATCCTGGTTCCCAGGGTGTCCATCCTACCTTCCATCCCTGTTGCATTGTAGCAATAGTATATATGTCCCCAGGAAACTTGGAGACACCTTCAGAAAATCCTGGAAAAGGTGCTTTCCAAAATTTCTGCCCAGTGGAAGAGAAGCGGGCAGAAAGGAAGACAGGAAAAAAGTAGGGAAAGAAGGAAAGAAGAGAATAGAAAGAATCCTTCTGGGACTCAGGAAAGATTCTTCCTGTAAGTAACCCCTTGTGAGACATAACCTATTAATTAAGACACTGAAATTTTGACCCTCTCCTACTCCATGGACTGTAGCTGGTGGACATTAGTTAGAGTTTGAGAACAGCGCACAGGACTACCCCCACCTCTGAAACCAATGGCAATTGTAGGGAGTCTCCAGACCGCTTTCACATTACATAAGTTGCTAGCATTCACAGAACTCACTGAAAGCTTTTATACACATGGTTATGGTTTATCACACATAAAAGATACAGATTAACATCAGCCAAGGCTGGAAGTACATGGAACAGATTCCAGGAGGGTTCTAGGCACAGATCTTCCAGGTGTCATCTCCAAAGGAGACATAACCTTTGGAGATGGAACCTAGGACATGTACCTCAGGACCATGTAACCTTCTCAGCAATGATAAGTGATAGTGCACACTTCATATAACCAACAAGGGAGCCCACAGGAGCCTTGGTGTCCACAGTCCTTATTGAGGTTCCATCACACAGGCCTGGTCAGCTTTCCATGTGGCTGGCTAATCTCCAGCCCCTCTGGAGGCCAAGTTGATACTTTTATGACCCAAAGCAGTTACCCCAAATTACATTCTACACTCTGGCTGATCCCAGGTCCCCAGACAAATGAAGACACTCCTGCCAAGCGTGACATTCCAAATACTTGATAGATTACCTCCCAGAAGTGGAAGGCAAGAGCCAGACCTCTCTTTAGGCAAGATTACATCTCTTCTACACAAACATGTATGCACTGTGACCCGAAGAACATTATAAGGCATCATAAAGAGAAATTATTTGGTGCTAGGGATTGAACCTAGGGTCTTATCATGCCAAGCACATATTCCACCACTGAGCTATACCCCCACAATCTCTAAATATTGTTTTTATGACTCATGTTGTCATGCATTTAAAGAGGAAGTTCCAAAATACCAGGCTAGGACAAAGGCAAAATGAAAAAGATCCCTTCCTTCTCCTCTTCACTTGCCCATACTCCCAGAGATAATCAAAGGGTTGCCATACAATAAAGTCACATTTTCTTAATACCCAAAATGGGCTGATTCCCATCGTACAATTTCACCTAGGAGTGTATCCAGGTTTTGTGAAATTTGAAGCATGTAAAAAAAAAATTGGGGCTTTCTCTGGGTTCAAGGGATCCTCCTGCATCAGCTTCCTGAGTAGCTGAGACTACAAGCATATCCCCCCACCATGCCTGGCTATTGGGGAACCCCTTTTAAACTAGACTGGCTGCAATAGTGACATCACCAAAAATGGTGAAGTTTTAAAAAAATTTAAAAACTTCAAAAGTCTACCCCTCCCAAAAACACTGGGGAAAAAAAACCTTCTCTGAATCAACTTTTTCAAGATTCTGCAATCTAATCAAAAGCATGTAATAATCAGAGGATTTCTTAAGCTAAGAAAAGAACTGAATTGTAGTAAAAACAAAAAACAAAACAGGGAGCTTTGTGGCATTTTTACTTATTTTGGTCTCATCCCCCACTCTCCAACTCCTCAGTAGCCTTGAAAATAACAGCCTGCATTCCTAGTACCAGAACCTATCCTGGGGGGAGCAGAATGGGAGTACAAGGAATGGTAACTATTGTGTTGAACTATCTGGTGGCTCCTTGGAAGAGCAGCTCAAAAAGCTCACCTTATCTTATCTAACTTGGAACTCTGCTTGGGCTGAAGTCACAGGCAACAGCTGATAACAGTCAGGGCAAATAATAAACTAACCAAAATGCTTTGAAGGGAAAGGTGGGTGAATAAGAGACCCTTTGGGGAATAAGATTTATGAAAACCTCTAACATATTCCTGGGAATCTAGAAGCCACATCCATGTCCAGGGTGGTGTACATGTTCAGTAAAGACCTGAGAAAACTTTAAACTCTCACCTCTTCCCTTGAGTCTCTGTGCAAGCAGGAAGTAAAGTCTAAAGCAGAGTTGGAGATTGCCTGGTTAAATATTGAAGCTGTGCCCCAATATACACAGAGCACATCTATAAACACTGAGAGATTTCTTTGTATTGGGTGCCCAAGGAAATTTCTTTCCAATCATTAGTGGACTACTTTAACCAATGGATAATTGAATAGAATTGAGAGTCCAGACATAAATCCATACATTTATAGCAAACTGATTTTCCAGAGTGCCAACATCATTCAATGGAGGATTTTTTCAACAAATGGTGCTAGAACACTGTGTGTCTACATATCAGAGAATTAGAGCTTCTATCTCACATAATATACAAAAATTAACTCAAAGCAGACCAAAGACCTCAATGTAAGAGTTAAAACTATAAAACTGTTGGAAGGAAACATAGTTATAAATCTTCATGACCTTGGCTTAGGCAATGGTTCTTTAGGAATACCACCAAAAGTACACACAAACAAAGAAAAAATAGATAAATTTAATTTTATCAAAAATTAAACTGTTGTGCATCAAAGGACATGACTAAGCCAGTAAAAAAAAAAACACACAAATGAGAAAATATTTGCAAATCACATATCTATGAATAGTCTAGTGCCCAGAAGAACTCTTACAAAACAACAACAAAAAGACAAACATTCCTAATTTTTAAATAGGCAAAAGATTTGAATAGGCATTTCTCCAAGAAGGTATTTAAATTTTAAATGATAACCAAGCATGTGAAAAGATGCCCCAAATCATTAGCTTAAGGAAATGCATATCAAAATCACAATGTCGGTGAGAATATAAAGAAACTTGAACCTTCAAAAACTGCTGGTAAGAATGAAAATAGCGAAGCACAGTGGAAAATATTTAAGCAGTTCCTCAAAACTTTAAATATAAAGTTACCATATAACCCTGTGGATGTCAGCTGTTTGTTACTGTAACAAATAACTGAAACAAATCATCTTAGAAAGAGAGAAGTTCTTTTTGGGGGGTAGGAGGGAAGATGGGGGTCTCACCATTTTGTATCACAGGCTGGTCTCAAACTCATGATATAGTCCAGGCTGGCCTGGAACTCATGATTCTCCTGTCTCAGCCTCCCAGGTGCTGGGATTACAGGAATGTCCCAGCAATCCCAGCTGAAAACAGTATCTGTTTTGGCCCACAGTTTTGTAGATTTCCTCCCATGGTCAGGTAAACCTATTGCTTTTGGTTTTGTGGCAAGGTAGCATCTTGAGGCAGGGAGCATGTGAGGGAGCAAGTTTTGCTTCATGCCACCATGAAGCAATCAATACAAAAGGGGGGCTGAGGTCCCTATATTCGCTCAAAGGCATACCCTAATAACCTATCTTCCTTCCACTAGGATCCAACTCTTAAAGGTTCTACCCCCTCCCAATAATGCCATCCTGGCGATCAAATCTTTAACACATGTC